AAATCCCCCAAAACACAACTCAAAAAAACACTTCCCACTGAAAAGCCCCAACCAAAAAAGCCAAGAAGAAACAGAACTGAACTGACCCCTGATATGGAGACATTTCTCTCAGGGAAGATGTTCAGAGAGAAAAATAGTTCAGAGGAAAACAGCATTTGCTGTTTTCTATCAGTGTTTTATCTTTTATTAGAGTCAAAAAGTAATCTTTTAGTTATAAAAGAACATAAGGTCCAGTTAGAAAGTGCATTTGCTTCTGCACATGAATCCTTTTTTGTAGTTCTTGTCAGGAATATCTTTTGTGGTTAATTCAAAATGGTGAGGCAATTCACTTTCTCTTCTTCCTTTAAGTGTCTCCTGATTAGATGGAATGAAAAGGTACTTAGCCAAACACAGTAGAAATTGTTGAAGAATTCCTAAGCATTGTAACTGCCATATAAAGTAGATTTTTACTAAGGAAACTAAGGAAGTTGTTCATATTTTACTTCAGCAGTGCAAAATTTCCGTCTATTAGAAATAGCTCTAAATGATTTTTTTAAAACTTGCAGCAACACCTTGCATCTGAAAACAGATTAAAACCTGAGATAATTATAAAGCTGGACAGACAGCATCAATTAGATTAAGTAAGGAAACATACTCCCTTTATAGCAGGAGTGCAGATTAATTTAAAAGTAGTTTTCAGCATTTCAGAGGGCATGAACCCTGCTTGTGGACTCATGGCCATAAAAAGGTGTTGATCAGTCTTATCTTTAAAAATGTTTTATGCAGCCACATACTGCAGAGTTGCCTGTGGATTGGACATAATAATCAGCAGGGGAAGGAGAGCTCATTACTACAAGCTCTCCTTCCCCTGCAGATTACCTCAGCATGGAGCCACGTATCTCAATCAAAAAAGATTGCTGCAGAGAGCTACACAAGATGTTTCTAAATCAGCTAGCTTGGTGTTCAGACTAGAGCTACAACCTTCTTTTAACCTTCAGAAAAGCAGAAAGACCAGGATGGTCTCTGAATATAGCAATCTGTAAGTTTGGAAATAAATCACTAAGCAGACAAAACTCACCAACAGACCCGGCCTGTCCCACGCTCACACAACCCACATGCAGTTCAAATACATGGAAAATTCAGCAGCAAGATCCAGTGTAAAAGGGACAAGGCAGGACATAGCATGTGTTGGGAGTAATGAGGGTTTAGGGATGTCTAGCACATTGTGCAGTACCAAAAAGTGCACAGATTGTTTTCTTATCTACATATTTAGCTGCTTTAAATAACAGAGGAAAATAAGCATAGCTGCAGGAAGCAAAAACATTTGCCTATCAGAAAATTTTGGACTCTACTTACATAAGAGCTCCAAATCATAACATCAGTGTTTAGAAAAACTCTTTAATTGCAATGTAATATTCTGGAGAGAAACAACAAAGTTTGCTCCTTGTCCCCAACAAGTAAGAAAATCAGGCACTTGTGGCAATTTTAGAGGACTAAAGGTGCCATAAATGCAGAGACTGGAACGCAACATGAATATCACTGAAATAACGTTCTAAATACACAGACCCACCTGGGCATTACGTACGTCCTATTTATTTCTGAGATAAATTATCATAAATAAATTATTCAAAAAGCCCAGTAATTGGCAACGAAAGGGAAGACAAAAGCTCATCTACGATGGAAGCTCAGGAGTTCAGCTCCCGTGTTAATAAGATCCCAGTTGCTACTTTGCATCACATCCTGTCTGTCTGGGTGCCTGGGAATTGCTGACTCTTTATTCCACTGCACACCTGCAAAGCTGTACAGGCCATGTGTGCAGCTTCAGGTGCATCCTCAGTGGAATGTGACTCAACACCTGTCCCTTTACCAAAAATTCATACCTGTATGCTTCAAAAGAGTCAATATCTCCAAAAATTAGCAGCCCTTTCATTTGGGTATAAGAACAATATGAAGCTGGTTTTCCAGCATGTACTGAAGCTTCACAAACTATAATATTAGAATGAGAGACAGAGTAATATTAAAGCAAAGGGTGCAAAGCATAGATTGCTGGTAAAAGTCCTTAAGATGGAACTGCTGCCAAAAGAATAGTCACAGCATCACATTTCACATTGTTTGATGTTCTAATATGTAATAAAATGCAATGTATGTTCGTCTGTCAACACAGTCCAGATTCTTGTGAATGTCAACTATTAAACAGTGACCACTCACTACAAATAATCGTATTGAATTGTATTTCATGGGTTATTACCCCCTAGAATTTCAGTTTTGACCTCCATACCCTGGAACATCCTCCACCAAATCTGTCCCTGGGTCTGAAATGAACTGGAGCTGATCAACTCCCTTGACCTGATTTTGACCCAAGATATCCCAGCCCCTATTGCTGTGCACTGAGTCCTGTAAAATCAGCTGCTAAGAGGATGTGACAAACAACGCAGCAATGCTTGCCTATCTAGATGAGATCAGACCTGACTCCTGAAAAATGATGTACCAGGCATTGTTTTAGCTCCTCAGAAAGCAATAACACGTTCTGGAATGGGAACTATGCACTCTTTACTCTATCAAAATTAAACTTGGGGACGTGCTAAGAAGAGCTAATACAGAAACACTGAAATGAAGTATATGTTACAGGAGTACATACACAAGCTGCAGAATTTCCTGTTGCTGAGATTATAAACATGTGAGGTACTGCACCAAGAGTAGATAATTTAGGATTGGTGTTAGCATATGAAAGCCACAATAACCAAGAAACAATCAGGTGTATCTAAGATGTCAGGCATAAACTGATCATCCACTAAGATCAGAGTGAATTTTCTTCATCATAGTCAGTGGTGTGCACTTTAAATCATTATCTGCTATCCTGAGAAAACCCACTAAAGTCAGTTTACCACTCATCACACAAAAGGCTGAATGCAAACACAAAGACTGCTAATTTCAGGGCTCTATTTAGGTGCTGCTAGAAATTGTTTTTAAGTCTTCTAGTGAGTGTCACAATATGTGGGACAATGTTTCTACAAAACAAGTAAGATAGTTTTGTGACTGGAGATTTTGAGCATAACATTTATTCACCCTTGGCAGAAGCAAACAAGCCTTCTGCTATTTACATTTTATTTAGAACTCTCGGACTTGAGATTTTAAGTACTTTGGAGATTTTTCCTTAAATCAAGAAAAAAATCTATTTTATTTATGTGATAAAACACAATACAAAAATCCTGCTGTAAGTTACATGAGCGTAAAGCAAAGCTACTTTGTTTCATACAACATGAAAATATTTTGGCCTATGTTTTCCCCAAAATAAATAACCCTCACATAAACTAGAATTATATAGTGGAAAAATACCCAAAGCAAATACCAAAACCCCCATGAAAGCTCATGACTTACTTGCAACTCTAAACAGATTCAACAGGTTCTTCAACTAACCATGAAAATCTAGTAAGATGGAAATAGCTTAAAGCCAAAAAAACCATTTTAAATAGCCCTGTAAAAGCTACAGTGACTTCAAATTCACATCATCTATTATAATTTCTCTGCTTACTATGGTGTTATATAAAGGACTGGAATTACTCCATTTGGAACATTTTGAACAAGATATTGGAAATATTCAGGGGAAAAAAGGATAATGAAGCAGAAACTTCAGAAAACAGTAATAAGAAAAACTATGTCTCAACGGCTAAAGTCTATCAGCCACAAAACACTTCAGAACACAAAACATTCACTGAATGTACACTTGAAGTATACACCAAAACTGGCTCTCATAAAAGCTATGTGAAGGGCTTATCATCAGAAAAGAATCATCTAACTCTGCAGTTACAGAATGCTAAGGTTACAGGTAAAGTTTTACCGATAAATACCTGTTATTCATAAAGTCACAAACCTGGACAAAAAATACCATTAATCTTACCTTTTGCCATATGAAGTTCCTCTGCTCTTCTTAAGGGAACAGCCCATCTCTCTCCCAGAATTCCAGCACATTGCTTTTCTCTTTCCATCTCTGAGTTCCTGTTAAAATAATTTTGAGATTTCTCATGACTGAAAAACATGGTTCAACAAAGGAAAGGACATAACAAAAGTCATCACCATCTATCCCCTTTGCAAATATTACCATTTTTTCTTTTCTCTCTCTCCCAGTTTTCCTCCTTTGTTCTCTTGCCTGTCTCTCTAACTTCTACTGCAAACTTGCTCCTTTTGGTCAACGTTCTCTCCTCCCTGCTTTCTTACTTGCAGATGCTGCATGCACAGAAAAACTCCCCAAATACTTCTCACACAGCCCTCAGCTGATATATATGGCTCTCCAGGAAAGATGGCATCACCTGTGATTTCTATTTGGATACAGACACATCTGAGCTTTTTTTATCTTCTACACCTGCAGAAATTCAAGCAGGACTCAACTCTTCAACTAGCTGCATCTGTAGCCATTTTCAGTATTAGTGTCTGCCTTAATTACGTCATTTTATTTGTGTACACTGGAGGCTGACTTTGTAAACAAACACACGTTCACCGACATAAAACATATATTGGTTGCCCATTGAAACTGAACACACAGAGAATAGCATATCTATTCTAACCCCTTTACATCCAAACTATCCTTTACTGTAAGGTCTCTGATTTTTACTGTGCTCACTAGGCCTTCACACAGGGCCAGGGTCCGCAACGGGAGCGGCACACACAAAACCTGCTGCCAGTAAATAACCGCGTTGCTCAAAATGTTTGTATCGGAAAGGCGAAGCCTCGATGCCCAACACGCAACTGAACAGCAACAGGACACAGACGAGACGCTCCTCAAGCAGCAGGGCTGGATGAGAGCGCTTGGGAAGATTCTCTCCCAAACCCACGAGTGGAAGGCTGGAGAAGGAAGCGGGGAGGAGAGCGGCCGGCCCGTGACCCCCCCCGGCCCCGCGGACGGCCGAGAGCCCGCAGGGACCGGGAACACGGCGGTGACCCCGGAGGTACCCGCATCACAGCCGGGCCTGGGAACCCGCCCCGCGGCCGCCCCCGCCTCCCGCCCGCCCTGCCCGCAGCCGCCGCAGCCCCGCCCCGCCCCGGAGAGCGCAGCGGAGGCCGCGGAGCCGCTGCCCAGGTAAGAGGCGGCCCCGGGGCCTCCATGGCCGTGCTGGGGATGGCGGGGCCGGGGCGGTGCCCGGGGCCGTGCTCGGGTTCGGGGGCGCGGGCAGAGCGCGGCCCGCAATGCGGAGCCGCCCCCGGGGAGGCCGCGCAGCTCCGTGCCCGGAGCTCGTCACGGGCACCGTCCGCTTGCAGGGGCTCATCCCCGGCTGTCCGTGTGTTTACAGGAAATAAACACAGGCTCTGATGCGGGCAGCGCGATGAAATTCGGGTGCCTTTCCTTCCGGCAGCCCTACGCGGGGTTGCTCCTAAACCAGATCAAAACAGTGGAGACTCGCTGGCGTCCCTTGCTAGCGGGCTACAAGAACTGCACCATTGCTATTCATATCGCTGTCAAGGACTGGGAAGACGAATCATGGAGAGACATTCTTCTGAATCGGTTTGGTATGACAGCAAAACAACTGCAGGATTTGTTGGATGAAGGGGAAAAATTCGGTAGAGGAGTTATTGCAGGTAAGCAGCCTAAGGTTTTGTTTTCCAAGCAAGCTTTCAGTTTGTTAACATTCAATTACACACGTGCTTCACGTGGTTGTGCTCATTATGACATTTTTTTAGCACTCTGAAGGAGTGGAGCCTGAACTGTGAAGGGGGGGAGGTTCTATTTCAGTTCCTGTAGGCTGAGGGCAGCGAGGGAAGTTGTCAGTAAAATTTGTACTATTTCATTGTGTTGGAAATGTGAGGTATCTTTCACCTTTACGTTGAAGAATTTTAGTCAGGCCTCTGTCTTCTAAAAATACTCACTCTACTTAAAACTTCAGGCTACAACTCTGAAGTCTGTGTAAGAAATAAATGCATTTGTGCTAACTGGTCATGCAGTAAGATAACAGAGGTTGCACGCTATTTTGTTTCAAGATGATAAATGTCAATTCCACACTTTTTGCATTCTGAGCTGAGGAACTTGCAGTACTCATGATTAAGTGAAGTCATGATGCTTTGCGTGTCATTTTAGAGTATTACATAAGTAATTACATAAATCCTATTTCAGTTTCACTGAAACACAGTATTTGGGCAATGAAGAAGTTTGTTTCTGTAACACAGGATGGAGTGATGTTTCATTGTGTGCATCGTGGCATCCTGTGACATAGAGTAGATATTGCTGCAGTGTATACTTACAAAGTTTTTATCCAGCAGTCATTTTGAACCGTTTCTGTGTAGGTATATTTGTTTAACCATCTGTCTTCCATTGTCATTTGAATATTTGTAGCTATTCCGGCACAACAAATTACTTCTATCACACTGAAAAATTGTTGTGGTTCTTTGGTGCTGAAAACTGTAGGTCCTACATAATATGCAGATTTGGAGCCTTGGCATAAATTGCACACGCGATTGCAGAGTAGGTATCAAAGCTTCTTTAATCTTTATTTAACACTTTTAATCATTAAACAATATAGAAATTCCCTTTTGTGACATGAAAAGGTTTCCAGACAGCAGGAATTTCCATATAGTTTAATGATTTTAAAATGTTAATAGAATAGTGTCCTGAGAGGGGCAGAGAGAGTTTTATGCTTTAATGAATCTGTTTCAAGGCCAAATGTAGCTCAGGAGTTTGGGTAGTAGCTGTATCTCCTTAGATGCAGACTGCTTTTCACAGAGTATCGCTGAGTTCTGGTGATTATAAGTGGGTGCCTCTGTTCTCCACCCATTTGAGGTCAGTCACCTGGGCCATCTTCTGCAGCAAAAGGCACAGCCTGGAGGTGTGCACAGCTGGTAACAGTGGCTGTTCTGTGTGCCCTCAGGGAGGGTAACTTCTAGAAAACTTTTCTCTTGGAGATCAAACTGGCAACTAATTCTGTATTTTAATTTTTACAATACAGGATTAATTGACGTTGGAGAGACATCACTGTATCCAGAAAACCTGCCTCCTGAAGAGATTCTGGAGCTGGAAAACAAGGCTGTCCTCTGTAATCTAGAAGAAAAATACTTGACTGTTGTTTCAAATGCAAGATGGCTCCTGGAACCGATTCCTGCCAGAGGGAGAACAGGTGTGTGGCAGGTGGACATCCCTGAAGAACTGATCCCTTCAGAAGTGTAGGCGTTGCCCCTTACTACTGTTTTTCCTGCCTAAAAGCAAACTTGTAATTCACAAATCAACATCTTGAATACATCAGCATCTTGTTTAGGATTCCCTTCCAAAACTGTTTGAAATGGCAAATACATTTGAAGAACTCTTTTAAGGCAAAACAAGCCAGATGTGATTTTTACGACTATTACTGGAAGTTAGTAATGTTTTTTTCTAGATTTTTCTATATAAACAACTAAGTAAACACTCTTTTTTTAAAATACATAATTTTGTATTGTGTGCCAATTTAAAATGTGAGTAAATAAAACTATTATGTGATGCTTGCATCTCTGATTATGGGAAAATAGTGCTTAAAAGCAGGCTGCCATCATTACTAGGACATCTGTCTTACAGCCCTCTCCTAAGCCTACTTTAAGGACAGATTGTTTCCACTCCCAGGGAAGTACACAAGATGAACATATGAAGGATCCAGCTCTGTGACCTGACAGGTGTAGCAAGGCCATTATGAGAAAGAAGGTGCTTGTTAAGAATGAAATGAAGCAAGTATTACATTTCTTTCTCTCATTTATAATGAAAAATACCAGTAATCTTTCAAAACCATACAAACTGATCTAGAAAGCCAACCAGCCACTTCAGCAATGGAATGAACATGTAAGCAGCTGGGTGATGCTGACACATACCTTCTCATCCTTCAGCCAATGCCACAAGAAAACAGCACATCTGGTACAGCAAGACACATAGCAAATTAAAAAAAAAAATCCCACTGAGAATATCTTTGTTTTGTGTTTAAAGTACTTGGAAATAAGCAATGTATATTCTATCAGCATTTCTGTTACTCAGAAATGGTACTTCAGGAGAAACAAATGTCAGAAAGTTTACTGCCATCCTCATCTCCCATGTAGTAACGGCTTATTTCTTGGAACAGCAGTTTGTCCCATCAGAATATTCCGAGTTAGTTTTGGACAGAGGACCCAACGTACCTTCCTAGCTGTTCCTCCTGCTGGCAAATCATTGCACCACCGTTCCTTTGAACAACTCTTCATGAATCACTACACACTTTCCTTTGTCACCCCACCAAAGGGACTCAAACCAATTGCTCTCAACACCATCCCAGTGCTGCTTTGGAAAGCTGAAATATGTGGAGGCATTGCTTTGGCTAGAGCTCTCCTCAGATGGATTCAGATGATCTCTTCAGTATTGCTTGGATGGTTTGTAGAGACCTTCTTTCTATTGGAGATCCAAAGGCAGTGTCACTAACTGCTCTTTTGTCACATGCTGGATGAAGTCAAGCTTGACTCAACTCCATTGGCCAGAACAGAATCACATGAAGTTTCCGATGAGGAAAGCTCAATCCTAAATTCTTTTCTCTTGGTTTCAGCAAATTTTTCAGTTGAAGCCATTTACCTTAGCAGCCAGATGGCCCTGCAGACAGCCAGCTGAAAGGGAAGTGACCAACTGACTGAGAATCCCAAGGGAAAATTCTCAGTCATCACTAGGACACCCATGCTGTGCTGCCGTGACATCAGAGCAGCATCCAGTGTCCCAGTGACATGAAACAGCAGCAGCAAGTGTTAAATATCACTTGTTGGTTTTCATTTACAGATTTTTTTTTTTTAACTCGAGCCACAAAGCAAATAAAACTGCTAACAAAATATAAGGTGTAGGATAGGACAGTGCTGGGCTGGGTTTCAGCCAGTAGCTGCTCCACAGGCAGGATGAGGGAGCTCTGCAGCATCAAGAATGGAAGCACCACATCCAAGTTTTCCAGATGTGCACTTAGCACACATGCAGAAATGTCCATACACTCCCTGCTCTTATTGCCATGCTAACACTAAGGAAACATAACCTATGGTATTTAAACTACCAAAACTTGGGGTTACTTAAACACAGAGAGCAGCTGCAAGGATCTGGGAATATCAGACATGTTTTTGTAAGCTACAGGACTACAGATTTCATAGAGTCTGTTTCTCCAAAGCACCTGCAAGTCCAAGACACTGTCAAAGCAGGTCTTTCTTCAGAAAAGAAAATGCTATATAGCAACACCAATGAGTTCCTGTCTTGAAAAGTTTAATCATTTACACCAACCAACACAAAGTTGGTCACAAAGACCAAGCTATGATATTTATTCCTAACCAACAGCTGTGAGACCTAAAATAAACGTTTCTGGCACAGACTGCACACAATGCAATGGGGAACAGCTTATTAAACAGCCAGACTAATGGGAGAATGGTGTACATGCTGCTCAGGAAGAATCAAAATGTGAAACTGGAAAAACAGCAAAAGCAACATGTGACTCCCAAGCCAGTGCAAATGTTTAAATACTTACATGAAAATTTACATGGCTAATTCAAAAGCAACATGTAAGTTGCCATATATTCTACTTCTCCACCCCCAAAAAAAAGCTTTCCATTGTTGCCTGAGAAGAGCAACACTTGTGCCTCTGTAGTCGAGACCATGATTGTGGCTGAACAGAAAAAAGCAGTACAGAGGTACTATGCTAAGGCATCCCCAAAGCATTTAAAAGAGACACAAAAATCAAGTGTATATTTAGGACCTAAAAGACACCTGGAATAGCATAGGCATTTCATACAGGGTTTTTAAAAAAATACTTTTAGATAATACTTATACTGTACACAACAAGACTTTTAAACAATATATTACACTGCTAAAAATGTTCATATAAATACTATACAGGCAAGCGTGCAACCAACCCGTTAGGAAGGTTCACAAATTAGACAACCACAATTCTCTGGAAAAGCTCTCAGATTTTCTTCGAGATCTCTGATTTGTGTAATCCAAGCCACTGATTCAGCAATACCTACTTTAAAGGAATTGGGACAAGGCATGAGATGAAATACATTTGTCTGCTGATGACCAGTTCAAGTTTAATATGCTACTGTCATCTTAATCTGGCATATCAATGTTTAACTTGGGAGGTGGAATCACATATTTTCCAGGACTCTGTGTAATGACCACTCCAGTCTTTTTTCTAAACATGGGTGCAATTTTTGGTGGTTCAGGCAGTGGTGTTTCTTCTGTCTCCTCATTGTCTTCATGATGAAGATCATAAGAAATATTTCCATATTCTCGTAAGAATGGGAAAATTTCAAGCAGGAACTGGCAAAAGTCTTTGCGAATTCCAAACCACCCTAAAAGACAAGGGAAAATTATTTCATGTTATTGCAGAACAGAATGAACACATAATTAAGCACGCAGACTGTGAAATCTCATTTAAGTTCTCTTGATTGTTTGCATGTGAATAATATAAAATTTGTTAGTGCTGCTTTTGAGTATTCCTTAGCCCTATCACAACATCACAGTTCAGGTTATATACACATATATACATACAGAATATGGGCATACATTGGCACACACATGCCTGTGTGTATATCCATCTCTATAAATTACAGTTATACTGACACAGCAAGAATCCATTTCATTTCACACGTTACACAGTGTCAGGTCACATCAGCACAGAGAAAGAACACAAAGGACTTTGAATCTCAATCAAGGCAAAAAGTGCCACATGGGATGACACTGTAAGCACTGAAAACTTACTGCAATCACCTGAAAACAATAGTCTAACAAACACGTGAATTATTTTATGAGAATATACAAAGAAAAGCCCTCTTTGAAAATAAAAATCTTAATAAAATATATTTAGGCATTGATTTGCAATCTGTTTCAAGGATTTTGAAATACTTACAGTGATTTCCTCCTTTTTGTCCAAATGTTGTTGCCATTAATGTTATCAGTGAAAGCCAGAGAGGAACAAATATGGGTATGAAGGAAAAAGAATTATGCCCATCCAGTCTGTGTACTAGCAAGATCTAAATGGCAAAAAACCAAAATAGTGTCAGTTTAGTTGCTATACTCAATTTCAAACTGCTTAAAGAATAAGCTGATTTCAGATCTTTAACTTCACACTTCTGTGGGGAGGAAATGGTCTCCACAGAAGCATGTAGTTACAGTTCCAATGCAATGCAGATTTCACTCAAAAAAGCTCTAAAGAACACATTTGCTGTTAATATTTTATTCCAAAACAAAAAGCAGCATTCTCATTCCAGTAAGTTAAAATCCCCAGTATTAATCACTCCCTGAAAAGAAGAACAAGACACATCGAAGTCATTATGCTTTTCCAACCTCAAATGTGAGCAGTGGAACTACAATTGTCATCCAGCTGACAGCCATCGTGATGTGTGTCCTCCTCTGCTCAGCAATCACATCCATAGAGCGCAGGAACAGAACGGACCACACGATGTAATACAGCACTACCAGGCACAGGAAGGACATCAAGATCCACAGTGGAACACAAACAACCTGAGGGAGAGAGAGATTTCATTTGTTTCAGGTGGGTTTTTTTTTTTTAATAAAGCATGTCTACGTATTAAGTCTAAAGAAGAAAAAGAAATTTAAGTCTTTAACTAATGTAATCTCTAACAGAAGAGCATACAAATTCAAGCATGCTGTTATAAGCCATATCAGCTCTCCGAGCTTTCTAACCCCCATGAAGATGAAACAATTTAAAATAAGGTCAATGCAGTTCAACTTCAGTAAGACTTCATGATTTTACGTGGGCTCAAATTGTAGTTGAAATTGATTTTAGCAAGTATTTCCTACAGTGGACACCGTATTTGGAAGGGTTTCTATCCTTCCTCAAATTTTTTGGAAAAGAGAAAGGGCAGACATAACCATGCCAGATTATCAGTTTTATGGTAGTTTACAAAAATCCAGACACAGAAACAGCACTTCTGTATTCTAAAGGCATTTGGGACAGGACATCTCAGCAGTTTACAGTGACCATTTGCACAGTCAATGGTAACACAACAAATAAAACTAGTTATTTACCACACCGTATTTACCAACACGTTCTGTAACTCACCAATCATTTTCATGGGTAGTTTACTGTTCTCATTGGAAACTTTGGTTAGGATTTCTCTTTCAGCTACTGCTCAGAGATCAACTGCAGTTGGTGGCACATTCCTCTCCCTCTGAGGGTGAAATGCCCAATGAACAACCTCCAATTACCATGAGCACTGAATGTTATCATGGACTAATCACATATAACTGTTCCCTAGACTAAATATTTTTATGAAATTCAGCATTTAAACAAAGATAAGAAGAAAACACTTGTTACATACAAGCCATGGCCATCTGATGATCTCGTCTAGTCTGAGTGCAATAAATATGAACTGTAGAATATTGACTGAACACAAGATTTCCAGCTAGAAAAAGAAAAAACACCAGTTAACTCTTAGCACAATAAAGCTATTTCCAAGATAACCAAGGAGTCTGTCAAAGGATTTCCCTGACTCCATGTTCATCACTGCAATATGAAAATTACATTGCATTTACATTAGCTATTACTAAGCATCCCTGAATTTGTAAGGGTGTGATCCCAACCCAATAGCTGTAGTCAGCTGCTTCCAAGGAATGACCTTCCTGGTATTTAACATGTAGAGTGATTAGAGAAATAAGAAAAGCCTAACTAATCAGACTGAAAAAAGCAAAGCATCAGAAAACAACTATTTTCTTCATATAAGAAATAATGCTAGAATTAAGTAGTAAAAAGACCTTCAATTTAAAATTAGCAAAATTAATCTTTTAAGATATTGCTTAGTAGATTCAATAATGGACAGAACTACCAACAGTCCAGTTTAGAAGTACCAGCTTTGTCTGGAGGGAAAAAAGAAATACATACAATATTGAAAGATGATATTCAAATTCAATCATTTACTGTATAATTGAGGTATTTTAAATGACACTGAAGACATGGGGTTTGCAGCAATAGAGAAAAGCAATACTTCTCATTAAAATGTTGATGAAAGCTTTTTGTGAGTCCCACTTGCCACTATGAGAAACAACCTTTCATTATACTTTTTAAGACTATAAAAATAGTGTAACACATAAAGGAATACTTCTTCTGAGCCCACCATGAATACAGAGACAAAACCTCACCATTGCATCACCTAATCAGTTGCAGAACAGGAATGAGCAGACAATATTTCAGATTAAATACTTCTGAAAATAATAACAAATTAACAGCTACTTTGATTACTCATGTCAAAAATTAATGTCCTGGATTAAAGACAGGCCCCTCTTATGTTTCTAGCAAATCAAAGGGAAATAATGAAATCTTCACAGAATAAAAAGAAAAGAAAATAGAACAGCACTAACTGAAGATGATAAAAGATTAAAAAAAAGCCATTATAAGAATGAGTAGAGACAGCTGTTGCCTTTTATGGATTCCACTTTCTTCTGCCAGTACTTAGCAGCTGTGCAGTCATCTGTAAATCAATGGGCAATCAAGCATCCTCCAGTAGAAGGCAAGTACTTCTACATAAGTTTTACTTTTAGGAATGGTTAACTGTGAATAAAACCCTGCAAAATAAAGTTCTATAGGCAACTGTTTTAAAATGAGCAGTATCAGTTTACCAGCCATCGTAACAATCACTTACCATAAATGTTTCTCTCTCTAGTGATAAACTCACCCTAGGCTAATGTTAGAGAAATTATTCCTGATGTTAGAGAAATTATTCCTGATCATGATTTTCATGCACACTTGCAGGTGAGTGCAAACAATTAATTGGACTGATGCAGTCCTAAAATCACACTTTTTGAGAGTCAAACTGTCACAGAGCTGG